GCACGGCAGCCAGTGCCTGGCGAGGTATTGCTTGTGTTTGCCTGGGATATTGGTTGTCATGGCTGTCCCTTTGATGTTTAAGACAAAAATTTCCAAAAAGGTCCAAACATCTCTTGACATCAGCCATTTGGGCTTGTTGTATTTTTGCCATGGCAAGTTTTACCTTGGCAACTGAAAGCTCGGAGAGCTCGGGGGAATTTTCAGATGGTCGACGGCGCCGATGGCCCACATCATACGTGGTGGTTTTGTTGATCAATTCAACGGCGACCATTTTGCTATGGCCTCATGATGCTCCCCCTCCTCCAGCAGACAAGATGGTCCTCTGGCAAGACAACTTGAACTGCAGCTACAGGTGGGCTGCATGGTGCGAGGAGTCTTTTTATACATGCCCTTTGCAGTCTCGCTTGTTCTTCTTTGGGTTGATGCTTTCGAGTTGTGGAGCTGGTTGTGTGGCAGCATTCCTTTTCAGGAGACGTCATGTTTCATTTCATCTCGACTATGCGTTTAACTACGCCGTTGTCAACTGGCTTCAAGCTATGTTGGGCTCGCTGGGCATGACAAATCCAACGAGGTGGACAAATCCAACGCAAACGGGGTTCAATTCTGCAAGATTTTGCGCATACGGCCTTCTTCCATACTCGTACGATGAGATTATACCGCAGTGGCCCTTTTATTTTGCGTTTTTCAGGTTCAATCTTTATATGCTGGGCGTGATTTTGATGCACCAGATGATCCTCTCTCGCCTGGTTTTGCTGGAGCAGTCTTCCAATGAAAAGTACAGCAGCCTCTGGTTTCGCAAACTGATGCGGGCATCTGCCTTTGGATTCCCAGCACAACTTCCTACAGCTGCAGGGGTGATTTTGTGCGGAGTGTTTTCACAGGTTGAGGGCATGACATCGGCGATTTCTTTGGTGAGTTTTTGTGCTATGGGTACAATTGCAGGTGCCATGTTGCTTGGCAATGTGGCAGCCAGTGCGGTGGCCATCTCTTCTTTTATCAAGTCTTTCCGGCAATTGCAGCAGATTTGTCGCCTGGCAGATACAACGGAGGCCGATTCTGTAAGGCCTGCCTTGCGACGAGCCCGGGACTTTTCTGGTTTGCAAGCCGCAGGTGTGTCCTTCAGTTTAGTCTTCTCATGTTTGCTCCTTCCAGCGCGTGTTGTAGCTGCACTGTTTGCCACGGGGACTGCTGTGGACACCATTTCTTTGGTGTGTTACTTCATTCAGCTTTTGGATCCATTGGGAAATGGTGTCGCCGTTCTCTTGCTGTCTGGGAGCCACAGGGTGGCCAACTCTGAAGAGAGACAGGGCCCATGCGGAATCCAATCCCCTGAGCAAAACCCGCATGAAGCGACTTCGCATCAAGATCCAAACTGGGCCACAAAAGTAGAAGAGCTCTCCCTGCGCGGCATGACTCTGCGCAGCTTTCTGCACTTCTATCAGGCAAAGCTTCCTTCCATGCCAGATTGGAAATATGTCCCGGAAGAGCACAAGACTAAAGATGTGGTCCGCCGAGTCATCATACCACTGACCAGCCAGGAAGAATGTGCCTATGCGGTTTCACTTCACAACACAGACGGGTCTCAGAGGGCCCAGGTGATGGTGACACACAACTGGGGCAACCGGTTCCAGGACCTACTGGCGGCAGTGCTATCAGATGCCCTGCAGGAGTGCAGCTTCAACTTGGCAGCTCAACTCCTCAATGAGGACAGTGATTTGTTGCAGGAGATGCTAGGAAAGATGGAAAAGTTGGATGACACCTACTGGATTTGCGCGTTTGCAGTGAATCAGCATGCCAGCATTTGTCACCGGAATGCTTATGACCGGGATCCAATGACAAGCCTGCTGCATCCAGTGTGCAATTGCAGTTGTATCAACATCAGCGATCCGGATGGCCGGAGTGTTCACTCTGAGATCAACAAGTTCGATGACATGATGTATCACCTAGCGACCACTGGAAGATGCCGGCAGGTCATTGCAGTGGATCAATCTCTGGATCTGTTTCATCGAGCGTGGTGCGTGGCTGAGATTTTTGAAGCCAAGCAATTGCAGATGGAGCAGTCACTGAAACTGCGGTCCGGCGCAACCATCCAACAACGGGCCCGGACCTTGGAAAATTTGGATGTCCGGGAGATGCAAGCTTCATCAGAGAAAGATAAGGAGCTGATCCTTGGTAAGATCCCTGATGTGGATGACTTCAATTCCAAGCTTCAACTTTTGATCTTCGACCCAACATCAGGGTTGGTTGCCTCTTGGAAAGCCATGGATAGCCTGCAGCAGACTGGTGAAGTGGGCCGGCTCATTCGATGGGGCCTGGCTGATGCAGGCAGTGGCAAGGTGTGGAAAGCGTGGGAATCCCGCGACTGAGTCCACCATGCGCATCCCAACAGAGGCATGTGCCCCAAATCCCTTGTGCAAGTCGTTTGGCCCAATCGGTTGGCCCCAACAATTTCGATGAAGTTTCGATGCAAAAGAGGAGCAGCAACCAGCAGAATTGAAGATGGACTGAACAATTGTGAAGTCCTGAGGTTGCTCCCACTCTTCTGCGGGTTTCCCCCTTTCTGAAATGTGCAGTCAGCAGAGTGCAAAAAAGGTGGAGTATTGATTGTGGTCAAAGCAAATGAGCAGAGAATAGCACGCAACTAATCGGCATTATGTCCACTTCCTGGCGGCAACATGTAAGAATATAAGGGTGAGATCTCCCGAATCGTCGAAAGTATCCAGGGTTTTCAAGCTTGCACTGAGGTGGATGTCGGCAGCGCGAGTAGAATTCAAACTCCCAATTCCAACTTTCTGGCTTCTACTGGCGGGCTTAGGGTTTAGGGTTTAGGATTTAGGGTTTAAGGTTTAGGGTTTGGCAAATGGCAAATGGTAACGGGTAATGGTAATGGTATACGGTAAATGGAAAATGGTAAATGGTGACTGGTATATGGTAAATGGTAATGGTAACGGGAAAGGAAACCGTGAGGGCAACGGTGAAGGTAACGGGAAAAGTAGGTAACGGGAAAAGTGAAGGTAAAGGTAGCTTGCTTATGGTTCTGGTTCTGGTAATGGGAATGGAAATAGCAGTGGTAGTGGTGCAACGGTAGCGGTAGCGGTGAACGTTTTGGCCATGCTGATGGTAATACTCGTAATAATTACAGTGATGATCCTGGACTTGGCACCATGTTGGTTGGAGATGAAAGCGTTCTGACACTGCTTTAGAAACGCATGCCGGTCTTTCCGGAAGTGCCGGAAGCTGGACCCATCGCTTCGGAGCTCCGATCGTCGCTTCTTGTGTCGAGGGCATCACGGCGCCGGTCCGAGGATCCTGCTTGTGCTTATCCGAATTCCACATTCCTGTTTGTGGATGCCTCTTTACTTGTTCAGCGTGTGCAAACCAGGAGATTTTGGCAAACGGTTATGTGCAATCAGGACCAAACCAGCAGTCTCCGGACAATCATGTCAACGCTAGTGACCGCAGCTGTACTGACCACTGTAGCGTGGCGCAAGGTGCCCTTGATTATGCACAGCAGTTCTAGCGTTGACCAGCATGTGGGGGTCTCTGAAAACAGGGGACCCTAATGTAGCACCCTAAATAATAGGATCCTTAATTAATATAAGGACCCGAAAATAAGGTACCCCTAATTTTCGGAAACTCCCATGTGTCAGTTGCCTTGATGTTTGCCGCCGGTGGGCATCCTCGGGATCGACTCAGCTGCGAGCTCGGAAGAGATCTTGGTAAGGTCCGGCAAGGTTGTCTAGGACAGCAGGGTGGAACCGGCCGAATCAGCTTGAAGTTTTGTTTAACATGCGCAATATGCGAAAACGCTGCATATCCGACTGTTTCGCGAAGCTTTCACGAGTTTGTATGGTGTTCACTAGAAGCCGAGTTGTTCCGGCCCTTGCTCGCTCCTGTTAGCAAACGTTCTTTGCAGCAGTGTTTGAAAGTGTGAGGCTCCGGCTGGGAATTGCAGTGTAGTGGTGTTCTTAGGTAGCGCAAGATTTCCTCACAGCAGTGTTGAATCAATGTTGTCCGACTTGCAGCGAGCCATTTCTAGTTTTGATCGTCGCGCTGCTCCGGCCAGCGAGCATGTCTGCCAACACCTCAGCACATGGGTAGTTCTCTGAATTAGGGTCGCTTTTGGGGTCTGTACTATGTTGGGGACCTAAAAGGGACCTAATCTAGAGAACTACCCACATCTTGGTTCTCGGTGTTCGGTGCAGAACGCAGCTGGTGAGTTCGCAACGTCCGTGTGGTTGGTTCTTCAGGCACCTACTCCCTCGGAGCTGTCTATGGAGTCCACTGACAGTCGCCGCCAGGACGTCGTAAAGCCTTGTAGGGGGAGCTGGTGTGCAGTTTTTGGCGGACATCTTTCAAGGATCGCTACCAGTCACTGTTCGAAGGAGTCGGATGGCAGCATCGCAGCACTACAACCTCCAGATCTTCCGGCTGCTTACACTGTAATCTTCGAGGCGCCCACTGCAGTTTGTTACTTTGGAGTTCATCTTGTGCGTCAGAATCTCACGGACGCACTTATGTTCCCGGCGCTGCGTCCCAGACCGGTCTTCAATACTTTCAAAACTGCCTGAATATTGGCGTTCTGTCCCAGACCAGTCTTCAATACTGTCAATGCTGCCAGTGTTCAACACTGGCTTGCATTCATCATGGTATAGGACATAGGATTGCCATCCCGCAACCGGTGCCTTTATTCTGAGTTTACTACCGGCAATCTGGTGTCCATGCCGTGTTCAGGAGCACGTGCAAAAGGATGACTTTGAGGACGAGCTGGAGCTGCTGGGATTTACGGACGCGCTGGTGACCCGCGTGTCTGCCATGGAGTGGGCCACTTGGACCTGTTGGTTGTCGCAGTTCGCGTGGTAGTCAACCTGAATTGTAATATGTCGGCCAGTCAGCAAATACAAACCCTAAACCCGAAACCCTAAAGCTTAAACTAAAGATGAGCCAAGGAGATCCAGACCACTGAGCAGCTTCCGGAGTGTCTTGAGGTCCAGGGCGTAATGGGCGTCCTAAAGAAGCCAGGCTCTGATGTGAAGATGGATTGCTTCGTTGTGTGGCTCACACCTCGTCCAGACAAAGAGGATCTACAGGCTCTGGCATCCAAGTTGAATAGCTTGAAGATGCTCCAGAGGTATGCCACCTTCGAGGAGGCTTTCGTCCTTGATGGATCTGTGGGGATCCGGTTCCAAGATGCCGCGGAAGCGCAAGACTTTGTCTCTTCACGCCGCGGGATGATCAAGTTAGCGCTGCCTGGCCAGATGGGTATTCGGGAGTACTCGTTGAAGGTGGCAGGGAGCTATCCAGATCAGCAGGTCCCGAGCAGCTCGATGGCCAGTCAAGACCGGCCTGTTTCTACGAAAAGGAGCCGAGACATTTCAATGCCAATCTCGCGCAAAAAGGCTCACTCGTTTGTCAAGCCTTCTTTGGATCCTCCAGGGGCCGGTGTCATACGCATCTTCTCGCAGCTCGGTCAGCATCATGATGTGCAGATCGAAAGCACCGATGTGATGGAAAAGGTGTATCAGCTGGTGAGGAGCTGGTGCCCCGGGTGCGTGCTGGCCAAGCTGCCAGGGTCGGAGGAGGTCGTGCTGCCGCTGGACCCAGCAGTTTCAGGCGAATTGCTCATTGTCGAGCCCACTTCGCTGCCGTTGGTGCTGCCCACGGAATTTCAGGTGCAGTTAGGCGCTGCCGGGGAGAGAGAGGTGGACTTTGCTCTTTTGAAGCACTTGCTCTGCGAGGTTTTGGGCGACTTCAACTGCCTTTTGGATAAGGGGCCCGACTCGGCAGTCGGCCTCTTCCAGCATCGCACAGAGCTTTGTGGGCGCAGCAGGCTTGTCATCTTGAAGTCTGCAGTTCAGCGTCTTGATGTGCTTGTCCAGCACAAGAAGATGGCCTTTGTGAGTGTTGTCGGCAAGCCGCGGGAGGGCAAGAGCACTTTGCTGGAGCTGATGCGAAGGCGTTGCAGTGGAAGAGGTGCTGGGCAGCTCTTCAGGTGCTCGAACTCAGCGACTCATGCCTGCACTACAGGCCTTTGGGTTTCGACTCAGGTGATGTATCTCAACGAGAAGGACAAGGACACAGCAGTGCTCTTCCTGGATACAGAGGGCTTGTTTGCGGATGACGGGACGGACTCGGACTACTTCATCCGCCTCTTCACCGTGACTTGTGTTCTCTCCAGTGTGCTTATCCTGAACAACAAGATCTGCAACACTGTCTCTGAGGACTTCAAGTCCTCCCTTGCCCGGCTGGCCGTGCACTACAAGGGCTTCTTTGAGCGGAATGCATGGTTCAAAGACCATCGTCCACGGGTTCTCTACCTGGCACGTGACTGGAACGGTCTTCAGAGTTTGGAGCAAGACTTCGAGGACTGGCAGGAGGCGGAATTGCGCAGCTCTTCGGATCAGGGTCCACTGAACGAAGCGATGGAGTTCATCCGCGCCGCCTTCGGCATTGTCAAGTTCGGCACCTTGCCAAGCCCTGTGACCGAGCTTTGCAAGAAGGACGTAGTCTTCAAGGAGCTGGATGCGGGCTTTGAGCAGAAGCTTGACGAAATCCTTTCTCGCCACGTGTGGCCACATTTGTCTCCGAAAAGCTTCGAGGACTCCACACGGAAGCCATGTTTCTTGACCGGGGCTGGGCCTCTCATGGAGCTGTTGCAAAGCACTGTTGATGCTGTATCTACAGAAATCTCTCTGGACTGGCAGACTACGCTGCAGCGCTTCCGTGAAAAGGCAAGCCTCACATGGTTGGAGGGACGTGTCCAGAACTTTTCGGCGGAGGTCAAGCGGGTCTTCAACTTCGTAGACGTCTGCATCCGACCCGAGCACTCGGACTCACACTCAGCTGCATATGCTTTGAAGCAGCTCCTTGCCCAAGCAGAGACTAAAACCCTCCAAACGTCACAAGTCATCTCTGGGAGCCTGAAGTGCTGGAGGGTGTCCGGCTCTCTCAGTGACCTGCGATGCTTTGCGGAGCAGATGAGCGAACGTGCCATTCAGAGGCCTGACGGCAAGTTGCAGCTGCAGCAGCATGCGCTGTGTCCCTGCTTCGTCCATGTATCAAGCAGCCAGTTCTGAACCAAGGATTACGACTTTCCGAGTGCAGGATGCGGTCAAGCACATCGCGGGCGAGCAGCAGAAAATCTGCGAGGAGGCAATTGAAGAATTAGGTCCTATGGGCTATGCACAGGGGACCATTGCACCTCGTCAGCACTTTTAATCTCAACCATGTCCTCCATGGCCGTTTGCTTGCGTTGATTCGATATCTCGCCATGCTCAGGCTGACCTAGTTCAATCTGCCGCGGACAGGCATCTGTCTGCTTTTCATCACGACGCGGAGTTGCTCCAGAATTTCTGCTTGCAAGCAGAGATTTGCCACATCCTGGAGTGCTTGGACGTGAAGGTAAAGGCTGCATCAGTAGAGGCTGAGCTGGACGACATTGAAGAGAAGTGTAGGCAACAGGTTGTGGAATTGGGCCACAGAACCATCGCAGAGAGGTCGAAGCAGATTGAGGCCGCAAAGGTGTCTATTGCCGAGACGGTGTCCCAAATGCGGGTGGCCCCAAGAGCCGCAGTGCAAGCTCAGGTGGAACGCTTCTACTGTGGAAAGCTTGGTGGGCTTGGGGCAGAAGATTCCTTCGAGGATACTTTGAGCAGGTCCAGTGGATCCAAGCTCTTCGCTGCATTTCTGAGAGAACAAGACTTCGATTCTCTGGCACAGATGGTAAGCCTTCATCTCCGCCATAATTCTATGCCCGGTATCTGCAGGAACATGGAACCTTGCAAGTTGCAGGAGCTACTTGCACATGTGCGCAGCCTCCTTGAGGTGGCGGTCGCTGAGGAACGGCGGATGCGGCTGGTAGCTGCACTCCGGCACTTCCTTGCCCCATTCGGGGTGAATGAGGGCCTGATCTCATCTCAGTGTGGCTCCTTCGTGGCTATGATGGATGCCGGCGAGGAGATCGATGGTGAAGCTCTGGGCCAGTTGCTCTTTGGGGCTCTGGAGCTTCATTTGGGAATCGCCGGGGGCGAGCTCTTGGAAAGCATCCAGAAAGCGCACCAGCTTTTGGAAGGCTCCATCCCAGAAGAAGGGCTTGGAAGCGAACAAGCTGATATGGTGCCTTGATGTATCTACGGTGGGGATTCTGTGAGTGGGATTTGTGTGGCCTTACATCTCTCTGACAGTCTGTAGCGAATCGCGCTGCATCCTGAAGCAGCAAGATTGGGAGTTTCCGAAAAGGGTTCCGTGTTCTAAAGACCCACAAGGAACGCCCTTACTTTGTAGAAACCTCAAAAGCATCTTCGAGGTGCGAGTGGCTGTTCGCGAAGTTTGCAAGTCCCTCGAAGATGCTGCCTTCAGCGATTTCCAAGCAGCATTTTTCAACGACAGCGAGGAGGACCTTCGCAAACTGATTCAGGACATTGCATTTGCTGCTTTCATGTCTGGTGCCACAGGCACGGATGCTGCTTTGTTTGTGCCTACGTAAATAGGTGTCCTGCTCGCTTGACTCGCATGGTTCTTCAGGACTACACGGGTGTGAGTTCCTTCCGCACAGAGCCGCTGCGGACAGACTTCGGCAAGGCCTGCTTCCGTGTGGTCTTTGCCTGCCAAGGGGACCTACAGAAGATCACTTGCCAGCACTTCAAGATCTTGCCCTTCAAGCAGCTTGGCATACGGCTTCCGCGTGCCAGGTGGGTGTCCAAGTTCAGCGAAAAGGCATTGGGAAGCTGGGGACAGCATGTGGCATACTCCAACAGGGAAGGTGGCATCATAGAGTACCAGGACAGCTTCGAGCAAGACGTGATGAGCTTGTGCGACGAGGGTGACAGCTTTATGGCTGGTGGCGAATCCATCTTGATCCGTTGCAGGTTCAACTTGATTCTGTTTCCCATCCGCTTCCCCATCAGCGACAGCATCATGTCGGATTGCTCAGTCCCGGATGTGCAGGTTCACTCAGGCATGACAATTGGCAAGGAGGACAATCAGATGGCTATTTTTTGGGTCGAAGCCAGTAGGCAGCAGAGGCGCTTTTTCCAGACTCCGAGGGAGCTTCTCTGCCATCTGGGTGATCGATTTCTGCCGCTCGTTGCGCAGGTCGGGGGCCACGACGTCGGCGGCCACGAATGGTTGTGGTCCTTCGCACCGCCACCTGGTCTGGTCTCGGCTTGGCACACTGTGGAAGTCTCGCTGCTGGAGACCTTGAAGCAGGAGGCTCGCAAGGGATACTTTCCCCATCATCCCAAGCTTCAGGGAAAGTGCAGGCATGCATCCTTAACCGCAATCACGCTGCTTGCAAGTCTGTCAGGTCTTGCAGACCCTGAGTTCAGCCTGTCCGGAGCGGGTGGAGGATGAGCAGATCAGCGGTCTCTTGCGCAGTCATGGCTTGAGTGGCTCCGAGCAGGAATCTGTGCTTATCGAAGCGGCCAGGAACCAGCGCCGGTTCTGCATGCTCAACCAGAAATGCTCAGAAATTCGAGCAAGTCTGCAGCATTTTGCGAAATGCGACCCGTGCCATCTCGACTTTCAGCTTCCCGGCGAGTCTCGCGAGGTTTCGGACGAACAGATCCTGCTTCGTGTCATGCAGCCGGTGGTTGAGGACATGATTCGACAGTTGCTGGCTACGAGTGCTTGCAGTTTGGATTGGGTGCATCACGTCGTGCATGAAGCCAGCCTCAGTGATGATCTGCTGACTCGTCAGCTCCAGACAGAGATCCGATCAGCAGCAACACAGCAGCTGCTGAAGCTGCAGATGTACCAGAGGCATCGCCTGCTTGCAGAGGTGTTCGGCTTGTCAGAAGAAAGCAGCCAGCATTTCGTGGAGAGAGCCATGTCGTGTCCAGCTGATGCGAGCACTTTGCAGAAATTGGTTTATGAGCATCAAGGCCGCCGTTTTCTTCCCCCACACATTCTGGAAAACCTTGGTGACGCGGAGGCATCGAGGAGTGTATGCCAGATTGCACAAGAGATTTGCGCAGATTTCGCTTGCTACAGCGAGTGCCGGATTCCGATTCAGCTGGCAAAGAACTTCTCGCGGCATGCTCAGGGTTGTCAGGTCGGGGGAGTTCGGGAGGAGGCTGGCAGCTACTTCTTCATGCTGAGGGATGCTGCCGGAGTTTTTCGGCGGTTGCTGCGGAGCATGCCTGTCGGGTGCGAGGTCGTCCAGGCAGTCCCGTGCATGTTGCTGACCACCTCCCCGGAACAGGACATGGCTTCGGCCTTTGATGAGCTGGACAAGCTGCGGGTCCTGGGCATCTTCGTTTCGCATATGCAAGCGGAGCAGGGAGGCGTGCACGTCGTGTTGAGTGTGTGGCACGACCAGCTGCCAAGAATTCCGCTGAGGAACTTCAGGCCAAGAGCCATGTCCTTGGTCACACACCATCAGGCTGGACTCGAGGAAAGAGCAGTGCCGGTCTCTCTGAGGGAGTCTGTCTTCGTCGCCGCGTCCTTCGACGACATATCCGTGAACATCCCAGAAAAGTTTGTGCATTGCGCCGTTTCCTTGCAGCCACTGGAGTTCCAGCCCCCTCCCTCGATGCCAAGTCTGAGTACCAAACACATACTCAGCGCGATGTTCAACCGCTTGGATGAGGTTCCTCTGTCTTGTAAGTGAATCTATTCGAGTTTCGATCCTGCACAGTTGTATTATCGAAGATCCCGTTCGTGTTGTTATAATACAATATGTTGTTCTGCTTTCAGACAGCCCAGGTTGATGAAGAAGAAGTACGTGGGAGGCTGTGGGATGTGGACATTTTTCGGCAGCTGCTTTGTCAGTGCGAGGGCAATCGAGATGAGGAGCACGCTCTCCGTGTCATGGCTCCAGCCTTAGACCTCGCTTCCACAGACTAAGGGGGTCGTTTCCAGGGAATGCAGTCGCTGCGACCAGCCCAGGTCATGGCCCACACACGAGCAGTGTGCAGCATGGGGCAATACACTTTGCGCGGTGTGTCTGTTGAGCTGCCAAGCCCCAGCGGCTCTGCTCGAATGAGCCAGCATCCTGCTCGCACGACCGGGCCACGTTTCGACGACACGGAGGTTACCATCAGCTGCATGGACACCATCCAGGCAGCTTTGGAGCTGCGGAAGAGGTTCAAGGACGGCAAGCTTCTGGTGCTGAACATGGCGAATCGCCAGAGCCCTGGAGGCACAGTGCGTTGAGCCAGTACTGGTAAGGCATGTAGGCATCAGAGGTGTCATGCTCCGCCAGGTGGCTACAAGAAGGGCAGTCGGGCACAAGAAGAGGATCTTTTCCGGCGAACAACTCTCAGCACAGCGTTGGATCCGGGTTTCGGCGCCACCGTGACCTATCCCTTGGCGGAATTCTGCCCCATCATTTCTCATGGGATTTGTGCGTTCCGCGGTTCAGAACACGAAGGCCGCTAAACGATCGTAGTAAGGGTAACCTTTGGATTTCTAGGCTCAGATGCAACTGCAAGCATGTGGAGCTCTGTACACTAAAGCCGCAAGCCCCAGCAGGCTTTCCGCTGTGGGAGCAGCCTCTTCAGTTTGATGTCATCTCGGTCGCAGCCTACAATGCTCGAACGACGGGCGGGCAGCAGGAGGCCTTCAAAGTCATGGAACGCCAAGGAGATGGCTTGGTGTTTTCCGAGGAAGGCTACTGGCGGACCCTCAAGAATATTGCCAGCCTCCTAGAGGCCGCCGCCGGAGATCGGGCTGAGCATCTTGTTTTGAGCGCGCTGGGCTGTGGGGCCTTTGGGAACAATGCGAAGCAAGTCGCGTTCATCTTCAAGACGCTGTTGCCCGCCTTTGCCGGCCACTTCAAAACCGTTGAGTTTGCCATCCTGGACCGTGATCCAAGTGACCCGGAGAGCAATTTTTCCATCTTCCGCCGCCAGATCTTGAATGGTGCTACCAAGACCCGTATGCAAAGGGAGCAGGGAGTCGCATGCTTCAGGATGCTGCCCTTCATGGATGTATGCCCCAAGGTGGGCAAGTGCAGGGACATCGGTGACCGAGAACACATGAAGACGTATTGGCATCCCGACATGTGCAGCGACCACAACTGCCAAGACTCAGAAGATCATGCGCTGCTTTGGAGACACAAAATTGTTTGTCCAGAGCAGCACTGCAAGATTATGTTCGGCAGCAAGGAGGACCCAAGATACGAAGAGCACGTCAGAATTTTCCGGCACCGTAAGGAGTGCCGAAAAGAGAATTGCGGGGACCCGGAACACATGCATCCTCCTCCGTGCAAGTTTGGCCTACGATGTCGTCTCAAGGGACAGCCGCACAAAGATAGAGTCTTCTACTCCCACTCTCGGCAGCCTTGCAGGGCCGGCAGGTTCTGTGGGAAATGGTATGATGCAGAGCACCTGACCAGCTTCCTCCACGAGTTCAACCAACCGTGTGAGGAGCCGTTGTCATGTCAACAGATGCAAGATGACAACCACTTGGACACCTTCGCACACTTGTGTCCGCATGGCAGTGAGTGTCACCAGTCACTCAGCTCCATTTGGCACCTTGGGCTTGCTTGGCTTTGTCACTCATGTTAGCTGAGCTGGGAGCGTTTGGCGTCTGAGGCTTGATGACTTGCAGCACAGGAAGCGGTGGATTCACATTAACCGACCGCCCTGCCCAGATGGAGTGAACTGCACGGCAGACGAACGGCCACACTACGAGGAGTGGCAGTACTGATTTCTTGTATCTTCTGCGTGACAGCTCACAATTCGTCTCAAGCGATGTGGGGTAGGCATGGTTTGTCTAGCAGATCTTTTAACATCCCGGTGGCAGGATCACCTGATGCTGTTCCACCACGCCAAAGTCAAGTTCGTCCGATCATGCTGTACCAAGGGTACAAGGTGCCCAGAACAGTATTCCCGCCAGCATGCACGCCGCTTTTCGCACCCTCCGGCTGAGATGATTCCAGCAGGCAGAGTGTGGGGCCACAACACCTGTCAGCACCTCATGCAGGAAGACGAGACGTCTCTCAAGGTGTCTTTCCACCAAAATGCAAAGGCTCTGATGGACAAGATCCGACATTTTCTGAAAGGGCAAGCTCCGGACAAACAACACCTGGCTGCTGCAGTGTCCTTCTGGCAGAATTGTCGTCCAGTGCACAGACTTCCAATCACCTCTTTTGCAAAGGTGCTTAAGACTGGGTTCTTGGGATCGCAGCACTGCCTTCAGACTCATGCACACGACAGTGAGTTCGCAATGCAGCTGCCCTCTGTGGTTGCTCTCGTCGCAACAAGCCCTGGAGAGCACATCCCGGCAATCCAAGAGTTTGTAGACGCGTTTGTCCGACACGATGTGTTGGCCCACCAAGCATCCCGAAATCCTATGTTGCAGCCGCAGCAGGGGCAGGAGGTTGCTCTTGATGCCTTAGGTGGACAGAAAGCACAGATCCAGAATGCCAAGCAAGAGTTGAACACAAGACGCGGTCAGTTGGGGGCCCTATTCCGCAAAGGTAGGTTGCAGACACTTGAGACCGAGCTCTCTGGGTTTGTGCAGGCTTTTTCAGAGTTGCAAGCCGCCAGCGAGGAGGCCGCCAGGCAAGGCAAGCACGCAAACATTGGCATTGGCCACCAGTATGACCGCCTCTTGGAGACCAACAAGATGGTTTTTGCTATCCTGGGACCCCATACGCTGAATTATGGCGAGGACAAGGATGGAGACGAGCACGATCAGGGTGTACACCTCATCTTTCGTCCTGAGTGCTTGCATCATCCGGACGTGTTTGTGACACCAATGGCCGCAACCTTTTACAACTCCGGGCACGGAGATGCCGAGCGACCTTGGTGGAAGTGCTGGAAGGGTGTTGCTCCAGCGTCTGCTTTTGAGAAGATGACGGCCGAGAGGCTCCATCCCAGCTCTCCTTTGTTCTACGAGGCCTTGGCTCTTGAGTTCCTTGCCAGAGAGGCCCACAAGCAGTCGAAGCCTCTCCATGAAATCACGCGGGAAGGGATGCTGCACTACCTCAAGACATCCAATGCCCATCACGTAGTTGAAACCCATCTGCCGTACGTCACACCACTTACGTGGGTGGAGAAGGTCATCATCTCGGAGCACACCTTTGCAAAGATGTCCGCGGCCGACCAGATCACTACCCGCACTGTCTTCGGCGCCAATCTGGAGATCGTCCCGGGTACGAATTCGGCTGGACCGCAGTGGAAGTATGCGAGCTCAAAGCGATTGCAGCCTGTGCCGAGACCCGCCTTCGCTTGGACGATGCTTCCGACAAGGATCCACGAGGTTGTGCTACCTGTTCAGATACCGCCAAAGCAAAGGACCAGGATTTTCTTTCGAGCCTCCCGCCCCCTGTTCCAAGTGAACCTCGCCAGCGACCGTGGAAGCCGTGGCTTGACAAATAAGATCACTGTCCGGGTCGATGGTGAGAAGTGCATCATGCAAGACCCCAGCAGGAAGTTCACGTCCGTGGACAGGCACTTCAACCAGAGAGTGGGCAAGGGCGGATCAGCCTTGTACTGCTTGGATGTGGATGTCCTGAAAGGCCGGATCACGTTCCAACACGCAGGTGTGTCATCCATGGTTGCCTGCTCCATCGTTTCGCTTGACAGGGTTGGATGCTGGCCACGACACATGAGCTTTGAAGTTCCCCGTGGACACATCAGTTTCAGCGACGTGCGTGTGTACGTAGGCAGCCAGGACACACATCTTCTTGAGCATGAAGTTGTATGGCAGTCTCCAGACGCAGAGCACTCGCCGGGACCCGAAGCGAGTGGTCTTTTGCAAGAGGAGGTGAAGGTCGCCTTCCGCTCTGAGCCGGAAGAGGGTTGGGTGTCCAAGATGTATGGCTATGTGACGGGCAAGGCGAAGAACAGCGCGAAGGGGCTGATGCTTTGTGACTTGGGATTGGACTGCCCAGTCCAGGCTTCAATGAAACACGGCTGTCGGATCGATGACCTCCCGAGCAGGCATGCCCAGCATATGAGGCAAAGACGGCACCTGTGCTTGTACGGCCGCAACTGCAGCCTGTTTGACGATGCCGACCACAATATCCTCTTTGTGCACATGGTGAAGGAGGATTGCCCGCATGGAGATGCTTGTGTGCAGTTGTGCGACCCACACCACCGAGCCCAGTATCACCACGAGGGGCACTTGGACTTGCTTTTACCTTGCCGTTATGGCTTGAGTTGCCAACTCCGAGATGAAAAGCATCGTTGCCGCTATCATCACGAGTGCACCCTCAAGTATACTCTCAATGATGACGGCCTACAGTTGGCAAAGGCCCAGTCCTGATTGACTGTTGCAACAAGTTGTTTCTGAGTCTCATGTTTTGAGTCTTTTTTTGTGAAACTGGCTGGAAGTCGCGGCAGGCAGATGGTGGCGACCGCAACCAGTCGGCTGCAGCTTCCTCTTCCAGCGAGGCGCTGCCGTGGAATGCAAGAGTAACCCTGCACGGTAGCATCCCACGACCTAGACCCATCCTAAACACTTACCCTCACTAACCCTCGTTGCGGGAATTACCGCTGTCTACCAGGCAGAAGTGAAAAAAATGGCCGCAGAAAAGGCTCCTAAACCCTAAACCCTAAACCCTAAACCCTAAACCCTAAACCCTAAACCCTGGTCCCCAAGCCTTGCTGCAAGGTGGCTCCAGAGTCGAAGGCCAAGCAGAGCGGAGGACATCATGGCCCTGGTCACTAGGTGGCAATTTGGGGGAGCTTGAAGATGTCTCCTCTGGTCTCCATAGAGGTACCTATTCATGACTTCTTTTCAGGGCCCCCCAAACTACAACCCAGGTCATCATGCATTTGGGGGTTTCCGAAAATAGGGAACCCTAGTATAGAACCCAAAATAATAGGATCCTTATTCTAAGGACCCCAAAAGAAGGTACCCCCATTTTCGGAAACTCCGATTTGGGAAACTGTAAGATTTCTCGTATGATTTTCAGGGCCCCCCAAACTACAACCTAGGTCATCATGCAGATGTTGACTTCGGTGCCGTTCAGGCTGAGGTGCAGGATCGAATTGATGACATGGATGCTGGGCAGCGCTCGGCTTCAGTTTTAAAGTTCAAGCCTAGCAGATTGCTGTGCGAAGTCTGTTTTTGATACTGATTTGCTGAAACGCTGGATGAAGCAGTAAGGAAGGGATTTACAATGATGCTGCCATTGCTGGTGACTACAAGGATGCGAAGTTGGACCAGTACGGCAATCCCATCGGTGGAGATTTTGATCTGGCCCGTGACGGGGCGTTCGAAGGCTTCAGGATCCTGGTTCTTTGTGCCTACAGAGGTGAAGGCTTGCCTGGGGATCTTGTGGCCTTAACCATACCAGAGCTCCAAAAGAAGGGCTTCGAGGTCCAGCAAGCCGCCACACCGGACGAGTTCACCGATGCCCTGAGCAAGGGCAACTTCCACGTTGCCTGGATCATCAGCTCAAACTCGTTTGCAGGCAACAAGGCAGCGTTTGTGTCTGAGGTCCGCAAGTTCCACGAAGCCGGTCGCGGGCTCATGATATGGGGCGACAACGACCCTCATTTCGTGCATGCCAATGAAGTCCTCACAGAACTGTTCAACTTCAAGCTCATCGGCAACACACCCGGTGGAAAAGAGCTGCTTCCCGGCAATCCTTTGGAACCAGGCCACTTCGGTGGACACCCGAAAGTCTGTGCAGGCATCGTCAAGCTCCATGAGGGCGTCACTATCTGCTACCCTGATCGTGTGCTCGAGGGATGGAAAGTTTTCGGAACTTCGTCAAACCGTCAGCCAGTGTTGCTTGCCAAGGAAGCTAGCAGCGAACGGCCCCAGTCGTCAGGGACCGGTCGAGTCATAGTGGACAATGGCTTCACGAAGATCATGAAAGCTTACTGGACGACCGCTGGCACCCCCCGATATGTCAGTAATTGTTCGGCATGGTTAGTTCTTCGAGAACGCTTCCGAAGACCGCAGTGGGGTTTCAAGCCAAGGCAGGTGTAGGATCTTCAAAGATGCAACACTGAGGAGCCAAAGAATTCATGAACCAGCAGAATTCATGGACATTGTTGAGAAACAACTTACTCCAGCGTTACATTTGCTGGAAAGCTTTGCACCTTTTATGTCAAGGTGGAAGCTGAGGCTCTTGCATGCCACTCGAACAGTGTATTGGACGGAGCGTTGATCTTGTTTCAAGCGAGAATACCACTAGGCCGGCTTGAAGTGTCGGAACAGCCTCACGTTCCAATAGCTAGCTCGCGTGCATTGCATGCACGTTGTCTGCCTGCCTCTGTTCAGATCGAATTGCGCTCCAGCGTGTTCTGCCTGGGCATCAAGTTCCCTTCCAGGGCAGACATCCAAGCTTGTACAGTAGTTTAGCAGCATACCATTGGTCACCGGCCATTAGATTGCCACGACGAGGGCAAAATAAGCTGAGGGAACCCTAAACCCTAAACCCTAAACCCTAAACCCTAAACCCTAAACCAGAGCCCAAGTTTCAAGAGGTCACGCGCGCGTGTGTTTACTCCCATGCTTTGCGGCCGGGAAGCACCTATCCCCAGAGAGCCCAATAGCCCTTAATTAAGGAATATACCTCAAATTTTTAAATATCCTTAAATCATAATATTAAGGCCCCTCTAGTTTAAGGTATATTCCTTCATTGAGGGGTATTGGGCTCTCTGGGTCTGCATCGTTCGGATTGACAGTTTTGGCAAACGCAGCCTCAAGGTTGCTCTTACCGCCGGGTTTTGCGGCATTTCCTTGCCGGGAGCCCCAGCACAGATGCTGAGGGCACGTGTTTGGCTTGTCCAGCTTGGTTTCGTCTTTCTCCGAATAGTTAATAGTCTCTTTGCAGTGCATGACACGGAGTGCTACTTCAGACTGTAGCTATCGCACTTTTCGCAACTTGTTTCAGCTAAGCTGGCAGGGTTTGCTGCAGGCTCAGATGACAGCCCTCGGTCGGTTGCAGCAGCACACGGCCTCGTTGCTTCCAAAAGCCAGGCTCTTGGATTCTTAGAGCAAGCAGCTGCTGATCAGGTTCGAGCAGTCTCAGCCCGTCTTCGGTTTGGGCACGTGCACCTCTTTACATGAAAACTCAACGGGAGCTGTTGCAAACCGCCACGGTGTCTTCATCCTCACCTGCGACGCAGCCATTTTGGAATTAGTGCTCGGCCGGGGGGTTTTGGGATTGGCGAAGGATGGCTCTTCTGTTGAGCCTGCTGTTCTCCTCGGCCCTGGGCCAACTGCATGATCCGCTGGTTGTCGGCAAGACCTTCATGGCGGGATCCACGGACCCGACAGCCGGAAGCACGGCGTGGGCGCTGACGAGCCATGGCATCTCAGAGAAGCTCTTCACGGTGGACGAGACGGGCAACATTGTGCCCCAGGTGGGTCAGTCCGTTTCCAAAGTGGACACCTTCACCTGGGATGTCACTCTCACCCCCGGCTACAAGTTCTCAGAGGGCACCGATGTCACGGCGCAGCATGTCGCAGAGGCCCTGACGGAGCTGAACCAGCAGAACTCCGGAGCCCAGGCCTCCCTGGGCACCATGACGGTGACGGCGCCGGATGCCTCCACCGTGAGGATCGTCTCTGAGCGCGCCACGCCCGTCATGGACGCCGTGCTGGCGGAGTGGCCTTTCGTGGTGTATCTGAAGAAGGGGGGCCAGAGGTACTTCACGGGACCCTACAAAGTTGAGACTTTCGTCAGTGGTGAGCACATCGACTTGGTGCCGAACACTCATTATGCCCGGGCCTTGGAGACCAGGTGGCACTCTGGGACCCTTTTTGGTTTCCCTTTTTTGGTTCCTATAGGGGTACCTATTCACGAATGCTTTTAAGGGCCCCGAAGCTACAACCCAGGAGAGGCCGCTGCTGAAGATCCAGCGCTTCTCCACGGGCTCGGCCGTGGCCGAGGCCTTGGAGCAAGGAGAGGTCGACATGGCGTTCCACCTCCCGGTGGACGAGCTGCCCGCCTTGCGACAGGTGACTGGGGTCACGGTGGCCCGGCGATACCAACAGCTCTCAGTGTGTCTTCGATGCCTGTCCCTTCGTAATCCGATTCTCTAGAGACTCCTCCTTCGTTCAAGGCAGGAATGCAGGCTGAAGTGAATCCCAGGTCAAGTCCTTCCTGGTCGGCTACCACTACATGATGTGGCACAACAGCCTCCGGTCTCCCCTCTCCGACAAGCGTCTGCGCCAGGCCGTTGACCTCGCGCTGGACCGCCAGGACACCTATCTACTGAGACTCGCGTATCGTATACTCATAATGAGGAACCCTCAAGGGGTACATTCCTAATCATTCAGGCTTTCACATGAAGCTTCCGCACTTCAGTTTTTTGCGACAAGTGCCCCAACGCCACACTCAAAGAAACAGTCGCCCGGAGACTCCAAAACCCCTTAAACTAAGGACTAAGGCTTCAATCATTTTTGGGTTTCCCAGTAAAGTTTAAGGCCTATTACTTCACTATCACGGTTTAGGGTTTAGGGTTTAGGGTTTAGGGTTTAGGGTTTTGGGGTTTAGGGTTTAGGGTTTAGGGTTTTGGGGTTTAGGGTTTAGGGTTTAGGGTTTAGGGTTATAAGGACTTTTGGAGATTCTCTTGCAGGCTGTAGCGAGGCCTTCCCGGATCCTGAGCCGCGCTGCCACTCAGCCCTGGTTCTCCCGGTCACCTCCTGAGCCCATAACTTGGTAGTTCCTTCCCCCTAATATTAAACACGGGGGGTTTAGGGTTTAGGGTTTAGGGTTTAGGGACCCCCTCAATAAGAATTTGGAAAGTGTTTCTATTATTAGGGTGTATGTTTTTATCTCTACTTCCACTTTTGAGGGGTCGTGCTCTTGCTCCTGCTCTGGCTCTTTCTCCCACGCTGGCTTTGCTCCTGCTTCTGCTGCGTCTCTTGAGCCCGCTGCTGCTCTTGCTGTCGCAACCGCTCTTGCTCTTGCTCCTGCTCTTGCGCTAGCTCCTGCTTCTGCTCTTGCTCTTCCTGTGCACTACGGGTATTTGGAGCCTCGCAAGCCTCCCCCTAATTCAGAATAGGTTTTGAAGGGCAGGGATGATTTCGCGAGGATTCGCCCCAATGTGCTGTTATTATTAGGGAGGTGTTTAATCAAAGGGGGAATGGAATTAGGAATGCAGGATTTATATCATCAACCGTAGTAGGATACTGTCCATCCTGTAGGTTGATGGCACGACTCTGTCGTGATTTCTTCTCTGAGCCTGTTCGCAGCGGCATGGTCGCTTGTCAAATCTCGCGCCAAAGAGGTCTCTAGAGGGTTTAGGGTTTAGGGGTTTAGGGGTTTCGGGTTTAGGGTTAAACCCTAAACCCCAAAACCCTAAACCGGCGAATGAGTTTCAAGGGACACAAACATGGCTTCCAAGCGGACTGGCTGGAGAGACTAGCTCCGTTTTGGCCTGAATTGAAGTCATGTAGGAATCTGATTAGCAACCCTTGGTCCTTATTATGATTCCTAATGATTTGGGGTTGCAAGGCCAGGGTTTCTTAATCACGGTTCCTACATTAGGGGCTGGAGCAAGAGCTAAAAACAATAGCAATACCAACGAGCATGATTTAATATTCCTAATCGTCGCATTCATAATGAAAGCTCAAGGCTTAGATTCGTGCCAGGAGCTCCTTTACCTTAAAGAAGCCTTGTAGACGCCCGAAAAAAACCCTAAACTCCCCACCTGGAGTTTCCTTTAACCCCAAACCCTTCTGTAAAGGAACCTCAACCCCTATAAGCCCTAGAAACCCTACATTCCCCTATAAACCCTATAAACCCTATAAACCCTAAACCCCTAAACTCCCCAGCTGTAGTTTCCTTTAACCAGGAGCTCACTCAAGAGCTGCGTGGTGGACGACCGACCAGGAGCCTCTTCCCTGAGAACTCGCCCTACCATTCCGGCGAGGCCAGTGCCTGCCTGTCTCGCAGATGTCTTCGTTGTGGGTTTAGGGTTTAGGGTTATAGGGTTATAGGGTTTAGGATCTACAGGGTTATAGGGTTATAGGGTGCAGGGAGTTTAGGGTGTCCTGCGTTTTGCAGTGAGACTGGCATGCCGGCAAGTTCTTCGAGGTTTTCCACACATGCGTGCAGATGAATGCATGCACCCTGCTTGGAATGGGGGGGGTTCGGCTAAGAGTTTCGCAGACGCAGGCCCCGCCGCATGCGGACAAGGCGGGGGCGGAGGCTCTCATCGAGTCCGCCGGCTGGGTAAAGAACTCCACCGGCTTCTACGAGAAGGACGGCGCTCCCCTCACTCTGCGGCTCGTGGCTTATCCCCAGCGTCCGGGCTTGGTCCTCATGCAGCCGACGATCCAGATGCGCTTGCAGGCGCTGGGCATCGTGGTGAACACTCACGTCACCAGCGGCTCAAGTTGGGACGAGCTGGATGCGATCATGGCCGCGCGCGACTTCGACCTCCTGCTTTGGGCGCAGCACACTCTTCCGGCCGGCGATCCGCAGTGGTTTCTGAACTCCTTCTTCCGCAGCGATGGGGGCAACAACCATGCCGGCCTCAACTCCAGCGTCATCGACGGCCTCTTGGATGATCTCGGCCACACGGAGCAGCACTCGACCAGGGTGGCCGACACGCTAGCAGTGCACCAGGCTATCCTCGAGGACGGCTTTCGATGTTGGGCCTATGTGAGCTCTTTGAAAGCGCCCTGTGTCTTCCCCTACAACCAAGCTTGCTAGAAATAAAACCCGTCATGGAGCTAAACCCTCAACCGTGCACCCTAAACCCGAAATAGATCATGAAAGGAAGTGCCCGTCAGCAACTTGATGACGCCTTCCTGGCACGTGGGTCTCAGCTCGCGGCTGGCGGAGTACGAGCCCTGGGGGTCCGATTACTACGTCATCCACTCGGACTTCGGCCTTCCCGACACCACCACCACCACCCCCGGCGAGCCGGAGAACGTGAGCGCCGCCCGCCACGGGTCCTGGCCCCTCGTCGGTCCCAGTATGGTTTTATGACAAGGAACTTTGAGGGTGCAGTATTGTGTACAGAAGTTTGGGAAAATGTCCGTTCTGTCCATATTATGTATATGTGTATATATATATATATATAACAAAACAGGAACACTGTATTCCACCCAAATTCGTAAACATGTTACATTCTAGCAAGGTTTGGATAAGGAAGGGTATTCTGGTAAAGAACCCTGGCTGTGGCTTCGTAGCCGAGGTATAGTGGCATTTGATTATAGGGGCATGACGAGTTTGATTTATGGAAGCTTCGTTTATACACCCCTAAACCCTAAACCGTTATCCCTAAACCCTAAACCCTAAACCTCTAAACCCTAAACCCTAAACCCTAAATGATCTAGGTGTATTCCTGAATTTAGGGGACTGGGCTCCGGGGGGAGGCATGGCGGCCTCGTCCTCACCGTTTTGGGCCTGCTGTTCTCGCTGCTTTGAGCTATCTGATCTCGAGTTTGCGTATACTATAGTATCTGATATGATATTCGTATGGTATACTATAGTATAGTATAGTGTAGTATAGTATACTTTAGTATAGTATAGTACAGTATATAGTATAGTATGGTATGGTGTAGTATAGTATGGTATAGTATAGTATGGTATAGTATGGTATGGTATAGTATAGTATAGTACAGTATAGTATAGTATGGTGTAGCATGGTATGGTATAGTATAGTAAAGTGTAGTATAGTATAGTATAGTATAGTATAGTATAGTATAGTATAGTATAGTATAATGTTAGTGTTGCGAAGTATAGTGCAGTATAGTGTAGTGTAGCATGGTGTGGTACGGTATCGTATAGTACAGTATAGTTTTGTACAGTACAGTACGGTACAGTACAGTATAGATATAGCAGAGTACAGTATAGCACGGTACGGTACGTTACTGTATGGTATGGTACGGTATGGTATGGTAGAGTATAGTATAGTGCAGTACAGCATAGTATAGCTTAGCTCGAGTTCGCTTTTCCTTGGCATGTAGGCCTCTTCTGGAGAGCACCTGCCGGGCTTTTCCCGACCTCAGAGTCGCAGAGGGATTTTCTGATTTTTGGCTTTTGCGTGGTCTGCATTACGTCGACCATGCACGAGGGGAAACGAGTTTCCGCATGACCTGCTGCCATTCTGAAGCGGAGCAGGATTTTGAACTCGCTCGATAGAGGTGCCAACCTTGACATCGGTGCAAGCGACATGCAGCGCAAAAGTCTCAGTCTTCTGCATGGGGTATACCAGCTTGCCAGAAGCTTCTTTTCCACGCAGTAATCCAAGTGGTTTGAGCAAGCTCCGTCTGCGCAATAGCTTCTCCAGTCTCCCCCTAAACCCTAAACCCAGTGTTGCAGTTTGAGGCTTTCTGCCGCTGCCATGCTGCTGGAGACTGGCTGCATCATCGTACAAGGACAAAAAGGCTCTGTCGCTTCGAGGTTCGTCCATCTTGCTTGAAGATTCGAAGCCTTGCAACGGCTTTGAGGCCCTGCAGCGGGCTCATAAGCTGAACTGAGTGTCTTTCCAGCGATATCCAGTGGGCACAGCCATGCTTTTGCACTCTCTTCAACCTGAACCCGCACAGACTTGCAACGACAATCTCGAGGCCCTGAGCCTTAAACCCTAAACGCCCCATAATCTTACATTTACATCCTAAATCCTAAACCCTAAACCCTACACCCTGCACCCTACAAAAGGGGGTGAGGCAGGAGACGACCTGCCTACGGTAGCATTTTGGGCCCGCTGCCGGAATTTCGAGCCATAGCCGCCCAGCCGTGGCTTGAGACTTGTTTCAAGCATCCGAATTCACGAGGCTTTCCATTAGGGTTTAGAGTTTAGGGTTTAGAGTTTAGGGGTTTGGGTTTAGGGTTTAGAGTTCAGGGGTTAGGGTTTAGGGTTTAGATATAGCACACTATACTGCCATGTCATATCTAACAAGACTTAATCTACATGGCGTTGGACAATGCAATATAGAGTAGTAAAACCAAGCAGCGTAGAATAATAGAATAGCATGGAACAGACTAGAAAAGAAGGCAGCATCTAGTCCAGTACAGTACAATGCAGCAGCGTAGAGTACCGTATCGCATCGTATGGTTTAGCATAGCACAGGAGTAAAGTACAGTTTCCAAGTGTCATGTGGCTCCCTTGACAGGTGTCTTTCGGTCATTTCTGGACAGGAAGATGTCGTTGCTTTGAGGCTTCCTTCAGGTTGACTGTTAGCATTCTCATCCTGTTGAGGATATAAGTCCTGCATTACCTTAAGGACCCTAAGCTATGGGAACTATGGTATATTCCTTATTATGGGTAATGCAGGATTTGTATCATCAACCGTAGTTGCAGGTAAAGCGGTTGCTCACATTCACGTTCCTGGCCAATCGCCTCCCTTCCTGAAACGGTTTCCTTGGAAGGGATTAGGGTTTAGGGTCTAATGTAGGGGCCTAAATTACCTATACACTCTTTTGGGGGTTCCTTACTATCATTATAGTATAATGGGCCCCAAAACCCTATTCTAATCATTCAGGCCCCTATATTAGCGTTTAGGGTTTCCAGGATCGATCTGTAGGATGCCCAGATGCCCCGAGATCCTACTTGGTGCAGGCAAAACGTTGCCACAATTGCTGGTGCAGCTGACCCCAAGGACTGTGCCAATAATGCTACGGTTGATGATATACATCCTGCATTCTGCATCATTAGGGATATACCATTATTCCTTGAGTTTAGGGTCCTTGAGGCAATGCAGGATTTATATCATCAACGGTATGGTTTGGGTTTAGGGTTAAGGGTTAAGGGTTTAGGGTTGAGGTTTTAGGGTTTAGGGTTTAGGGTTAAGGGTTTATTGGTTTAGGGTTTAGGGTTAAGGATTCAGGGTTTAGGGGTGTTCTAAGAGGATCCGTTTGAGTGGAAGGTTCGAGCCCGAGACCCCGAGACTTGGAACTGTTTAGGGTTTAGGGGTTTAGGGCTTATAGGGTTTGGGGCTCTTTTAGTGTGTGAGGGTTTAGGGTTTAGGGCCGACCAGAAAGTCCATGTTCCCTATGAGTTCCACGTGGAAGTCTGACCCCAGCCCGATACTAAGCCCATCAGCCGACTGTAGTGTAGTTCTACGTCAGATCACCTTCTTCTGATAGGGACATTAGCTGTAGGCCTTACTTAGTACAATGGCCCCCAAAATGGCACCCTCGAGCGTAAGACTTGTGAATTACCCCAAACCCTCAACCCTAAACCCTAAACCCCTAAACCCTAAACCCAATAAACCCCAAACCTTAAACCCAAACCCCTAACCCCTAACCCCTAACCCCTAACCCCTAAACCCTAAACCCTAAACCCTAAACCCCTAAGCCCTAAACCCTTAAACCCTAAACCCTCAAGTGCAAGACTTGAGAATCCCGCAAACGGCCTGCCGGGCAGACCCTGCACGCAGGGCGGCCGCGCACAGCGGCGATGCCTCGGCAGGTGCCATCTAGGGTCCTTTAAAGGTTTAGGGTTTAGGGTTTGGGGGTTCTGGAAGGGTTGCTTCAAAGGGGTCTATAATTGATCGATAAGGGTTCAGGGCCTAGGGTTTAGAAAGTTTAGGGTTTTCGGGGTCAGGGTTTGGGGTTTATGGGATTTTAGGTTAAGGTCTTGTGCTTACAGGGTTAAATGTTAGGCTTCGAGTTCAGAGAGCCCAATATATAGATAAGTAAATATGTATGTATGCACATATATATATATATGTACATATGTATATATGTATATACGTACCTATGTATACTTGTATATATGCATATATGTACATATGTATATATGTATATATGTATCTATGTATATTTGTATATATGCATCTATGTATATATGCATCTATGTATATGTGTATAAATGTATATGTGTGTATATACATATATATCTTGTTTGAAGACATGTACTTTGAAGCATCTCGAGGGTGCCTGAGGTAACATCTGTTCCTAAGTTCAAGGATATTTGGCTCTCCTGGGTGGGGTTTAGGGTTTGCCATGGGCCTTGTGTAGCATAAGGGCCTAAGTAGTTACCAATACTCTTTGGGGGTTTCTTATGATTACTTCTAGTAACATATACCCCCAAAACTCTATTCTAATTATTAAGCCCCCTATACTAGGTAGAGCATAGTGCTTCTCGCTTATGGAAGTACGCCTCTTATGAAGCCTGTCCCCTAAATCCTAAACCCTAAACCTGTCAGGCCATTCTCGATGGCAAAGACGCACGGCCGGGGCTTTTTTCTGCGAGATTTGACGGCAGTGACGTCGAGAGGAAATTCCGGGAAGTTTACCGCATCCTCAAGGAGCATGGGGTTTAGGGTTTTAGGGTGTTTTAGTATTGCATCATAGTGCACTATCGGTTATCGTATCTCACAGTTGGGTTCTACCGGGTTCTCAAGGAGCATGGCCCCTAAACCCTAAACACTAAACCTTAAACCTTGAAGCCTAAACCCTAAACTCTAAACCCTAGACCCTAAACCCTAAACCCCGAAACCTTGAACCCTAAGCCCTACCTCAAGGAGCATAACTATCCGGTTCTCATGGTGAACGCCCGCGCCGGCACCGACTTTGGAGATAACACCATGGCATACCTTGGCCAACTCAAGAAGAAGAAGGGCGTCTTGCTTTCCGTGTGCACCTGGCATTATGCGGAGGTCACGGGTTCCCTAAATTTAAGGCCTCCGGCTCAGGCCGCCGACCCCGTGGGCGACAGACCAAAAGCCGAATCCCTAAACCACCCCCAAGACCTAAGCTGATTGTCCATGCGCAAGCCTTGAGCGTGAACGCCTGGAAGCACGGAAGCCCATGCGGCGGCCGTGTCGCGTGCGGCTCCCAGCTCTGAAATCTTTGTGCGCTGTTAGTGCAGGGTGGGTAGTTGCGGAGAAGTTTTCGACTGCAGTCTTCGAGTTTTTAGCAAGTTTCGGTGGGAGGGCGACGGGGGTCAGGGGGCAAGGGAGGGGCAAGGGGGGGAGGGGGGGGGGCCATGGAGTACCCCCCCCCCCCTGCATGCACTTGGTGTGCCGAAAAAAGGAGGTTCTCCAAACCCATCGAAACCCATCCAACACGCCGCCACGGTCGGCGGACCCTAAACCCCTAAACCCCAAACCCTAAACCCCGAAAACCGAAACCCGAAACCCCCGAAACCCTAAACTCCAAACCCTAAACCCCAAACCCTAAACCCCGAAACCCGAAACCCCGAAACCCTAAACCCTAAACCCCAAGCCCTAAACCCCGAAACCTAAACCCCGAAACCCGAAACCCCGAAACCCCGAAACCCGAAACCCTAAACCCCGAAACCCGAAACCCCGAAACCCCAAACCCCGAAACCCGAAACCCCGAAACTCTAAACTGCGGAGGTCACGGATTCCAAGTATTCGTCTTTCGAGGAGCTGAAGCTTCTGGGGTGTTCTTGGAAGTAATTTTTATGTTTTGAGGGTTATAATCCCTATATATCTATATATAACCCATAAGAATTTGATTTTTTATAGGGCTTCTGAATCCGGCCCAGGTTTGCTCATGGCAATGACCTTGACATTCTGCCCCTCCGAGTCTGTGAGGATCCCTGGCCACCAGAGCCACCGAACCTTGGCGTTCTTCTAGGGTTTAGGGTTTATGGTTTAGGGTTTCGGGGTTTAGGGTTTAGGGTTTAGGGTTTAGGGTTTATTCTGTTTGGCTCTTAGGACTTTAACTTGTTGGGTTTCTATATGAACTATAATAAGTCGGCTACAACTTTAACTTTTAGGAGGGGTTCAGAAGTCAGCCAAGGAACGACGAGGAGGGCAAGGCAGCAGGGCTTCTGGCAATGGCCATCCCCCGCAGCAGGGTCTTCGTGGACTGCCGAAAGCTGAGCGAGCAGGAGTTTGCCTTCACCGTAAACCCTAAACCCTAAACCCCAAACCATAAATCCCTAAACAGTAAACCCTAAACCCTGAACCCCAAACCCTAAACCCCTAAACCCTAAACCCAAAACCCCAAACCCTAAACCCCTAAACCCAAAACCCTAAACCCCTAAGCTGAGCGAACAGGAGATTGCCTTCAGGATTGCAGAGGAGCTTCGTCAAGGTGGCACCACCGTCGGGCATGGCAAGGACAGGCCTTGCATGCCGTCAGTCTTCGGGAGCTTTTGCACAGAATGTCAAGCTCCGAAACGATCCCGAAAACCCCTAAACCCTAAACCCTAAACCCTAAACCCTAAACCCTAAACCTAAATGTTCGCTGCGGCCCTGAGCCCTAAACCCCCGTCACGACACCTTGCTCCGAGAATTGGGAGTGCAGAGGATGGCGCCGCGACCTTTGCTCCCGAACCGCGGACTTCGAAGGCCTTTGCCTTTTGGGTCACACCTTCTTCTTGCTATGAAAGGGATCTGGGTTGTAGACGGTTTTTTTGAGGTGCACATGAGGGCTTTTGCGGTCATGCTCTGATCCTTTTTCCATTTGCAAGAGCTACATAGCAATATGCGTTAGGCGGGAAGAAGGACATCCTCTGCCCAACAAAAAAGTCACCAGCGCATGCGAAAGATTGAGATGGTATTCTGTGGGAGTCTTCAGCGATGGGTGTTTAGGATTTGGGGTTTAGGGTATCTGCCGAACTTTAATGGCCCGAGAAGAGACAGAGATTGATGCGTAACGAAAGTTGGCCAGCATGAGGACGCTCTGAAGCCGACAGTGGCCGCGGCTGCCGGTAAAGCGGACGCCAAGGCTTCGTAACGGCTTCACGATGAGGGTGGATGCGGGCACCTAGCGTGGAGAGCTTTTGTCAGTCGCTCACTCGATTTCGCTGCAAGGCTTGGTTTTCTTTGGCCCAGAGGGGCGGAGGAGAGCGGGAAGGACGATCCTACACAGCGAAGGACGGGTGCTTTAGGGTAACGTGGTGTGATGTTTCGACGTGAAGCTTGTGGGCAGGTAGAACACGGCAAACTGACAGTGCAGGAGTGCTTCGTGAAGTCGCTAGAGATCGACAGTGCCAACGCCCAAGCCTGGCTGGCCTTGGGAAAAGACCACGGTGGTGCCAGTATCAAGGGTGCAACATATAGCAAGGCGGAGTGCTATGCGAAGTCCCTGGAGTACGATGACACCGGAATGCATGCCTGGCGCAATCTGGGGCTTCACGGCGGAGGAACGGTGAAGGGCAGACCGTACAACCAGAAGGAATGCTTTGTGAAGGCACTTGGGTGCAGCAGCACTTTCGCGGATGCTTGGCACAATCTTGGCCAAGCAGATGGCGGAAACGTCCAAGGAAAGGAATACAGCAAGAAGGACTGTTACATCAAGGCTTTGGAGTGCGATGATACCTTGAAATGTGCCTGGCGGAGCCTGGCCAAGCAGGGTGGCGGCATAGTGGGCGGCCGATCCTACAGCGCTGCCGAATGTGAGGAGAAGGGCAAGGAGTGAACTTGCCTTGCCAACCCTGTTCTCGGTGTTTTCGACTCAGTTTGCCGAGGGGTGGTGCGCATAACTACCGGATGGCACGTCTCTGTGCGGACGGGTCTCGGAGCCTTGTCACTGATTTGCCATGCAGGAGTCCACAGATGCAGCACCGGCGGGGCTCTTGGTTCTTGCGAGTTGTCGTTTTTAGGCAGAGTCGAATGAGTTGAATTGCAGATGGGCTGTGACGTGAGATTAGTCCGAGGCAGCTGCTGGCAAAGCGGACCCTCGGAAGACGGGAAATTAGTGGGGGCTGTTTTCGGGCTTTGCCGGCCGGAAGCCGGCAAGAGATGACTTATGGAGATAGATATAAATTGAAGCCTTCCTTTACTGGTCTACATGAGGACGCTGTGCAGCCGACAGCGGCCGCGGCGGCCGGTAAAGCAGACGCCAAGGCTTCGTAAGGGCCACCTAGTATGGAGAGCTTTTGTCAGCCACTCACTCGATTTCGCTGCAAGGCTTGGTTTTATTTGGCCCAGAGGGGCGGAGGAGAGCGGGAAGGACGATCCTACACGGCGAAGGACGGGTGCTTTAGGGTAACGTGGTGTGATGTTTCGACGTGAAGCTTGTGGGCAGTTAGAACGCAGCAAGCTGACAGTGCAGGAGTGCTTCGTGAAGTCGCTAGAGATCGACAGTGCCAACGCCCAAGCCTGGTTTGCCTTGGGGAAAGACCACGGTGGTGCCAGTATCAAGAGTGCAACGTACAGCAAGTCAGAGTGCTATGCGAAGTCCCTGGAGTACGATGACACCGGAATGCATGCCTGGCGCAATCTGGGGCTTCACGGCGGAGGAACGGTGAAGGGCAGACCGTACAGCCAGAAGGAGTGCTATGTCAAGGCAGTGGGGTGTAACAGCACTTTTGCGGACGGCTGGAACAGCCTCGGATATGTGGGTGGCGGAAATGTACAGGGAAAGGATTACAGCCGGACGGAATGCTATGTCAAGGCTCTGGAGTGCGATAGTTCCCTGAAACTTGCCTGGCACAACCTTGCGAAGCAAGGTGGCGGCGTGGTCCGAGGACGGTCCTACAGTGCCGCCGAATGCGAGGCAAAGAGCAAGGAGTAAACCGGCCTTGCCAAGCTCTTCTCTCGGTGGTTTTTCCCTGGGACCCTGTCCCACCAGAACGGCAGGGAAGTCCCAACGACCGTGTCCTGTGCATCTGTTTTCAAACGTAATGTCACAAAAAAGGAACCTTCAACCCCAAAACGACACTGTGAGCCCTGGACTCGAATTATACCTGAGCATCGAGCTGTTTCCACACTGTTACTGATAGCCGAGAGAATCTTCCCGGACTTGCTAAACCCTAAAACTAAACCCTAAACGCAAAGCCCTAAACCCTAAACCCTAAGCCCTAAACCTCTATCAGACCCTGCTGCAGAAGAAGAGACGAGAAGAGGGATGAGTGTATTGCACGGTGTAGACGGTGATTCATAAAAGCTTCCCTCAATCAGGGACATAGTAGAGACCCTAAGTATTGTGGAGACTAAGGAAACGGGGGCTTTATGAATGAGGAATCTACGGTACCTTTCAGTTTAGAGCTTTCCTGGCAACTCTTGTAGTAACCCTTATAGTAACTTTTACAGGTATCCTGTCAAAATTAGAGATCTACGTGATGGGTGAGTGGCGGAGAGCAGTCTCGCAATGTTTGGAAAGCATCCGGGAGACTTGCTGAAGCGTGGAGGCTTAAACGAACACTTTCGGGTTCAAAGTTTAGCGTTCAGTGTGCCTTCGATTCGTGTCTTGATCATACCTCGTCCCGATCTCTTCCGTAGAATGGCCGCAGCTGGTGAAAAGCCGGAAAAAGGCACAAGGGAGCAAGGCGACAAGAAGACCATAGCATCGGAACTCAACAAGAGGGCTTTCCTTCCTGCACAGCCTCAACGCCTCAGCCCGTAACCCCTAAGCCCTCTTTAAAGGAACCTTTAAAGGAAACAGAAAGGATAGACTTGCCCCGAGAGCCCCCATAAGACGAGCGTAGGCTCGAAAGCCCTGTTTGGCAACGGGTTTGGAGCTTGCCCATGGAGAGTTATTTCTTCTCTGACCATCGCTTGGCCCACTGGCCACTGTGGACCCTAGAGACCGTGGAGCTACGCACGCTGATTTCCTAAACCCTAAACCCTAAACCCCTCACTACTTCTAATCAGACTGGACGGTTGGACCTACTATACACCCCAGAAGGCCCATAATGAGTATCTACCAAGCCACAAGAATGCATCTAAGCAGAAGATGAAGGCTGCCGGCATCCAGTGCAACACAACGAAACACTCCACAATACCAGAAGCATACTACTACGCCTGCTTACTAGGCCCTGGTTTGGGGTTTAGGGTTCAGGGGTTCAGGTGGAAAAAAAGCGCACAACAAAAGGCACCCCAAGCCCTAAATCCCAAGCCTTAAACACTACCCTCTACGCTTTTAACCACGCACGCGCGCACGCGCGTACGAGAACACCCGGGGCCCGGCTCCTCTTGTGCCATGCCGGTCTTGGTGGTCCCGGGCCGCACTCAAGGTGTGCCAGGGACTTGGGTTTAGGGTTCGGGATATTTTGGTTGGGGTCTTAGGGTTCTTAGTGTTCGAAGGGTTCATGCTTACCGTAGGTGGTTATTGGTGAAAACGCACGAAGTATTCTGGTTTTTGTCTACTTTTTGAAGCTGTGTGCTGTGGTATGTTTTATGTCAATGCAGCGCAGCAAGTGTTGGAGCAATCGTATTCACTGCAGCGCCTGCAGCCTCACTAGCTGTGAGCATTGGTGCTGATCGACGATGATGACTATGGTGATGCTCATGATGGTGGTGACGGTCATTGATGGAGACCCTAAGCCCTAAACCCTAAGCCCTAAGCCCTAACCCCTAAACCGTGATGTTACCACGGGCGGCTACTGCCCCAGAGGTGATCGTACGGAGAGGTGCTCGTACCGATCGGAGCCGGGTTTGCCGGAAGAGACCCTACGCCCTAAACCCTAAACCCCAAAAAGTCCCTCAAAAAAAACCCTAAACCCCAACCCCAAACCCCAAAAAGGCCCTCAAAAAATAAAACCTAAACCCCGACCCCTAAACCCTAAACCCCTGTACCCCAGACCTTCAAACCCTAAAACCTTGAACCCCAACGCCAAAACCCTAAACCCTTGCACCCTAAACCCTCAAACACTAAACCCCAATGCCAAAACCCTAAGCCCTTGTACCCGAGAGGGGATTTTGATGTGCTCTGGAGACAGTACAGATTTCTTTAATGGCTCTGAGCCGTCATATTGCTCTTTCTGTAGTTCATCCACAAGTGATTCGCTTCTGGATTGTCCCATTACTGCTTGCATAAACCCTACACCCTAACGCCAAACCCCTAGAAGATCCGAGCAATGCTCGGGAATTCTGTTGTGGGTAGTTCCTTAGATTGGGGTCCCGTTTAGAGTCCGTTTTAGAAGGGTTTCTATGAGGGCTTCGGTAGGGTTTCTATAAGAGCACTATCAGGGGGTCTCTTTTTTGATAATTTTTATAAGGGTGCCGTGCTATTTTGTGGACCTGCAAAACGGACGCAGAGAACTACCCATATGTTGATGTTTGATGGCAAGGGTGGTGTCTGTCATGGCGCCGGGCTGCTTCACCCAGAGACTCCAAAACCCCTTGATTGAGGAATTGACCTTTACTCATATTAGGATTCCTATTACAGCTTAAGGTATATTCCTCAAGTAAGGGGGTTTTGGAGTCTCAGGGTTCACCAACCATGTCGTCGCAGCCGATGTCAGTCGCCGCTGTCTTCTTCAATCTGCTTGCTCTTGAGTCTGTGAACCGGACCCCAAGCACACCGTGGCTGTCCATTGCAAGCACTCACTACACCCTCAACCCTAAATCTTTAACCCCAAATCCTAAACCCTAAACCCCAAACCCCAAACCCTAAACCCTAAACCCTATCTACCCCAATGATACCGAAAGTGCGCCGCGACCCTCGACCCCAAGGCTAAACCCTGCACCCGTTGAGTAACCCTTACGGCAAGCTTGCTAAACCCTAAACCCTACACGTCTTTGAGTAACCTGCATAGTAAACCTCCTAAACCTCCAAACCCTAAAGCCCTTAGAGTAACCTGTATAGCAAACGTTATGGTTATAGTAGCTCCTACTTGCGGGATCACGGGACTGCGTAAGTCAGGTTTTAAGTACCTCAGTTCGGGTTATATTGATTTTAGCATTAGCTGCCTTGTTTAGAACCCTAGATACTAAGTCCCAGGATCCTTTAAGCAGCCCTAAACCCTCAGCCCTAAACCCTAAACCCTGAACCCTAAACCCTGAACCCTAAACCCTAAGCCCAAAACCCTAACCCCTAAACCTGAAGGGTTCTAGAATGTAAGAGCCTTCGGAGTGGAACCGTAGCCAGGCATCGACCTTCTCGAAGTAGCCTTAAAGCCGTTGATAAAACCCTTATAGATCCTTACAGGGACCTTTCAAGGAAACCTGAGTCCAGGATGTAGTGGTTTAAGTAACCCTAAACCCGAAACCCCAAACCCTGAACCCGAAACCCTAAGCCCTGAACCCTAAACCCTAAACCCTGAACCCTAAACCCTAAACGCCCTGAACCCTGAACCCCAAGCCCTTAAGTAGTGGAGCTGTACTTGGAGGTTCATGGGTAGTTATAAGTGGGGTAATAAGTAGGGTACCTACAGTAAAAAACCGACATTAGGGGACCTAAAGAACCCTTAAAGGAACCCTATAACCCCATATTTGGGGACTTATGAACCTCCAAGTGACCAGGCTCGGGTTTAAGTAACCCTTAACCCGAAACCCGAAACCCGAAACCCTAAACCTAAACCCTAAACCCTAAACCCTAAACCCTAAACCTTAAACCCTAAACCCTGAACCCGAAACCCTTAAGTAGTGGAGCTGTAGCCAGGCATCGACCTTCCTGATCCAGCGGCAGATGCCTGGGGCCCGCATCTTAGCGGTTCCCGCGGCTTCTTGGGGGTTCAGGGTTCGGGGTTTAGGGTTTAGGGGTTAGGGTCTTAGGGTTTAGTTTAGGGCTTAGGGTTCAGGGGTTTAGGGTTCAGGTTTTAGGGTTTTAGGGTTCAGGTCTAAGGGTGGGGTTAAGATGGAGACTACCTGGCTATATAAGGGGTATATAAGGACTATACAATGGTTATTTAAGGTAATGGGATTAAGGGTCCCTACTAGGGGTCCCTCCGAAAGTCCTCAGAGTTCAGCGTTCGGGGTTTAGGGTTTAGAGTTTTAGGGTCTTAGGGTTTAGTTTAGTGCTTAGGGTTCGGGGTTTAGGGTTTAGGAGTTAGGGTTTTAGGCCAGCTTTAGGGTTCAGAGTTCAAGGTTCAAGTTTAGGTTTTAGGGGTTAGGGCTTTAGGGTTTAGTTTAGGGCTTAGGGTTCAGGGGTTGAGGGTTTAGGGTTCAAGGTTCGGGGTTTACTGTTATCAGCACATGTTAGGAGGGCTTTCTGTGGGCATCCTTTATCTGAGAACAACCTTATTCTGCTTATGAAGAAGGCTGTAGGCTCTAGGCTGTAGCGATGCTTCGACGAACATGGAGTTTGACAGACGGGAGTGCAATTGTAGGGGCCCCGTAAAGCCTAAAGCCTGAAACGCATAGGCCACGAGGCATTTAAATATCTTGATAACTGAATCCTATCATTGAGGACCTGATTTCCTAGCCGGCTTCCGTCACATGAGCCTGAAGGTGCAACATTCACAGACGCAGAAAGACAGACAAACATGATATGTTCAAACAAACACATACGGTGCACGGTATTTATCTTACACTATTGCGGTGATCAGAAGCCATTGTGCGTTCGCAGTTCGATGGCTTTCCCGCTCGAGCGTACAATATGGTTGGGCCTTTGCACTGGCATTCAGAGTTTAGGCTTTAGGGTTTGGGCTTCAGGGTTTAGTATAGGACAACTTCTGTCAAAGCAAGGCGGTTTGTACACCTCGAACCGGAGCCCTTCCACGAAATGAAACGGACAGGGCGCCCATCTTGTCGGTTAAACGGAAGCACGCAGGTACCTATCTAGATGGTTATTAACAACTATGCGTATCGATTAAAACTTGGCAAAGCTAGTTGTCTTATATCTGTGGTTGG